TGAATGTAAAGGGCATTTTGTCTGTTGTTTATAGCTAGCGAACAATTTCAGAAATGGTCTAAGCATATCGTTAGTTAGTTATAGGTAACAAAAAAAAAAAAAACAAAAACGAAGCAATTCTAATCAAAATAAAAAGAAAATACCAGGTGATACAAAATTAATGACTTTAACCACAACATTGGTTTTTAGTCTTTATCGGCTTTATGACTCTGTAAAGTATATCAAATATCATATCGTTGCATTCGGGACAAATTGAGTATTTATATCAGCGAAAAAAAATATAGGGGTGACATTTGAAAAAAAAAAGTTAGGGGTTGTTCCTATGGGGTGGATTGATGAATATAACTTTATGTAGTGGAATTTAAAAGGCTACTAGACAAATATTATTCATATTTTTTTTTACAATTTTATATCATTAAATAACCGAGATATCCGCTGGGCAAAAAAATCTGGGACACCCGGTATATCCATACAATTATATAATTTTGTATTTATAGAAAGAAGCCTGCCACACCTTTATTTGTAATTGCAGTGTAGTTTTTTTTTATTAGCACTTAAAAATAAATGAAGAAAGATTAATTCTTAGCAGTGGGCAGAAGGATTAAAAATGCGCAAGAAAGTGATTGTTTGGATATTATTGAAGATTCATCTACTATATTCCATTCGATATAGAAAGTAAGATATGTTCTTTAAAAACCGAAATGTCTAAGAAAAACGATATTTCTTCTAACATTTCTTCATTAGAAACTAAAGTTTCATCTGATATTTCCTCTACAAAAAGTTTCTTCTGATATTAAATAAAATTTCCTGATATTTCTTCCATAAAAGAAAAGGTGACTATTGACACTTTTTCGATGAAAACTGTTGTTTCTACTATATAAATTTATATTTCTTCATTGAAAGAACAAAGTGTTTTCTAACATATTTTTTATGAAAATTAAAGTCTCTTCTGATATATCTTCTAAAAGAAATTAAATTTTTTCCGTTGAGGAGAAAATAACAGAGATAGAAAAGAAGATAGAAAAACGGTGAAATAAAATGCCGTGAGGTAAAGGACTGCTGGTGCAAAAAATATTAATGTTAATTGGATATTTTTTAATTCAGTCACTTCGATTTTGTATTCATCGAATGCCCTATTCTGGATCTATCAGATATCTTTACAATTTATAAAAACATCCAGTGATTTCGTCAGAATTCAGAAAGAGACATCTACCAAGTAATTGCTGTGGTCGATAACACCTCTCCACTGTATTAACACCATCTTTTATTCATTGAATCGTAACGATAAATTCAAGCAATTTCAAAATGTAAATAAATAAAATTGTATTAATTTTTTTTGAATTCCGCTTTAAAAGAAACCGAATAAAATATTCAAGAAAATAATCTTTAGTAGCCGCATCCGACGTAGGCAACTAAACTTTCTCATAAAATTTTATTTCGCAAACTCTTAAAGTCAATTTTGAATAAAGATGAGACGAGGGTTTATTTACGATATAACATTTTTAAGGATTGAGGGTGACCTAATTTAAAAAGACTTTATTATTACGTAAAAAAAATTTCTTATTAACATTTCATTAAAATATCACGACAGGCATTTGATTAAATCCAAACAAAAATAGAAGAAAACGAAAATAGTGTTAAAAGTTTTGTTGCGTACTAAAACTAATCGTAGTGTCCCTTCACTTTGTCTTACCCAAGAAATTTGGAACGACATGAAAAAAATTAATTTAATTTATAAATTATTGAGATAACAATGATAAAAATAAACTGGTAACGAACAACAGGAATAAAATACAAAGTCAATAACAAACCAAAACAGCAAATTTGTATTTAAAAAATTTTAATCTGTTTTCATGTAATAAAAAAACAATCATTCTGACATCCTGTATTTTTTGGAACTAAGGTAAATTAGGCTAGATTCTCATATTGTGTCATCAGGAATTTGTTCTGATTTTAGAGCCATTCTAAAAGACAGAATAATTACTGTAAATTAAATTGTTTTTGACGAAAAATTACCTCACGAAAAGAAAACTTATTTATATTTTAATATCCTTTTTTTTTCGATGTTCTAGTTAACTGAAATCCGAAAAAAACGCTGTTTAGCCGAGCACAAATTTTAGACATGAAGTTCCCTCGGGATACTATTTAAAAAGATTATTGTTGATGTTGCAGAATGGCTTTAGGGAAATAGGATGAAAAATTGACTGTTCGTGCAGTCTCTCCAAGTGAAACCAGGAACGTTGCAGGTTTATCGACCTGTTAAAATTCTGTTACGAGGGTATCCCATTCGAGCATAAAAAGACTATAATCCTAACTAACTTTGTTCCAAACTTTTTAGACTAGAAAAAAATCGAGTGAAAGGCAGTGTGGTTACTGAAACGGAAAGAAGACGAAAGTTTTTTGAAGTTGAGCGATTATATCGAGAATTTAAATTAATATATTTTTAAAATTCAGTCAACAGAAAAGGAAGGAAAGTTATTTTAGGGTTAAAAAGTTTTTCGCCAGTTTATAATAAATTTAGAGGCATTTTACGATTTTGTGGCTTTAATTAAATGCTTACACAAACGAATATTAATTGGGCAAAACAGAACATTTTTATTTACCAAAAAGTTCTTTTAGGAAATTGCGAGGTGTTTTTATTTCGCTAATATTAATTATTTCATAATGAACAAAGGAATCTAAAAAAAATTTAAAGGGGTTAAGTTTTGAGAGCTTGAGTGTAGACGAAAGATCATTTTGAAGAGAATGTAAGTGCTAATAATTTAATTAGTCTTATTTTCATTTAATTTCATCCGGTATAAATTTAAAATACATTGTTAGTTATGATGAAACATCAAATACTAAACTTGTATGACTTGAAATAAAACATTGTAATATCTCAGAAACGTACGTTTATAAAGTAGGTCAGATTTTACTGCCCTAAATATTTAGAACAACAAAGTAGGTAAAAGCGCACAAGGTAATCTTGCAGAAAATAAAAACTTCAAACTGAAGACGTAATTTTTGTGCAAACTTTAAAATTTCGCCACGGCATCATCACCTTATTTTGTGTTTGTCATTTCGTAACAGTGGATTTCCACTTGAGCTCCTTTACACCACAATATGTTCCTCATTTCCATATGAAACAAACAGCTCTACCAACACTTTCCATTTTAACTATTCTCTAAACTCTCTCCCACAGAGTATTTATTAAAGAAAATGTTTTATTAATGAACTTACGTTAGAAGGATGTTTTTCTTGAAAAATTCATTAATATTTTAATAATGCCTGTCGGTCAAAAATCAAACAGTAAAAGCGCCCGTTTCCTTTTTGTGTAAAAATTAAATATGTACCTTTTCTTTTTTCTTTTTCGAAAGAACAAAATCAATATCTCAATCTAACTTTAATTAAGTTGTGAAATTTTCTCATTTTAAAGGCATCACGAGTACAAGAAATTTTGTTTCTAAATCGTACAATAGAAGTAAATTGAATTACATTTTACAGTAGATTATTTCTAGTTCTTAAAGACATAGATAGGCCAAAAGAAAAAATATAAGAGGAAAAAATATAAGATGAAAAAAAAAAAAACGAGAAAAAATGTTACTGGAAAACTATTTCGAATATAGAATATTTATTTTGAAAGTGCTGTATCACGGTGTTTCTGCGCATGCTTATAACTTACATGGTAACCATTATGTTTTTCGGTGGTTCTTTTTCAAATAATTATTAAGTCCAATGTCAAAGTGACAGCGGTTTTTCTAACAAACGTTTCTTGAAGTAATGAGGCAAAAATAAAATACTGTTTGGTTTAGATTTTAAATACTATAAAGAATATTGTTTTGCTTTTGACCAAGCTAAATAGATGTTACTGTAATTTATTAAAAATGTAGGCAGCCTTCTTTTTTAATCATAATTCTTTAATTTCAAAAATATTCATTCTTTATAATAAGTTTTAAGAAAAATACTAAAACACGTCAATTTTTTTTGTAAACAAAACGTTTAGACGTAAAATTTTACCTCTTACATCAACCCTCTTAGAAATAGTAGCTATCACCGTTTTAAACAACAACAAGAACGACATATATGCACCATTATGCAGTTTTGAAATTATATCGAATGACACAGTACCGGACTGGACCGGATTTCAATGAATATTTAGAGCCCCATAAAGTATAAAAATTATTTTGCAAAAACGTTCAATACAAGTATTAAAAGTAATTTTAAAAAACCGACCTCAAAATCGTGCAGATGCCGTCACCATATCTTAACAAAATTTTTATGGGATTACCCCTGAGTTACCTCCTTACTAACAAAAAAAGAACCACAGAAATCGGACAAAGTGGTAAAGAATTATTGCTAAATATATAAAAAATGAAGAGTTTGAGGATTTTCTCATGGACTCAATTATTATATTTTGACCAAATTTATATGGGACAACCTCTGAGGTACCCCCTTTCTAAAAAAAAAGAATAATTGAAATTGGATACCGTGTTAAAGAATTATCGCTGAACATATGATGAATTGAGAACCTCTTCCTTTTTTTGAAGTCGGTTAAAAATTTACCATTCTCATAAACATTCGACAGAAATTTAGACTAAATCATGTGGAATCTGTAGGCTGGCTGACGAACTAGGAGGTGCCTATCATCTTAGGAGGATGCACAATGGGCCTAATGAGGCCTAAGTGCCGTGGAGGGTAACCCACCCTCCACACGTTACAGATACAGATAGACTAAATCATTTCATGTTATTCAAAGTTTATCAGACTTATAAATTTAATGAACGTTTTTGTAACCGGCTCTAAAGCTATAAAATAAAACTAATGATTCAAAATTTGTATATCATAATTGATTTCATAGTAATTAAATATACTGTTTAAAATCATACGACCCTGTCCAGTACGATACTGGAATTGCATATACAGAGTGGCCACTTTAAATAATTGAGATATACTGTTGTAAACTATTAGTGAACGGTTTTTAGAAAACAGTTAAAAACTCATTTATAGATTTTTGTTTCACCCTATATATGAAAAATTGGTCCTAATTTTGAATTTCAAAACGTCAAAAATACAACTTTTTTATGCTTTTAACTAATTTTGTGTCACCAACTGTTTACAATAATTAGAAAGTGACCTGTATATCGTATTAATAAAAAAAAATTCTTACGGTATAATAAAAAAAAAATTAGGACACATTACAGTCGTCGGTACCGCTTTGTGCGTCTCTCATCTGTTGTTTGGCTTTCCTAGAAGCCCTTCGTATCAACGATCTGGATCTGGGCTTCGCCAAGGTGTCTTTACTCTCGGACGGACCTGCTTTTTCCAGAGCCGGGCTGGCATTTCGTCGGGCTCCTTTGTTTGACACGTAGGCGCTTGAACGTCTTTTTAACCCACTTTGTTCTTCGGTATCGTGCGGTAAAATCCGGGATAGAGATAAGAACGTACGGAAAATTTCTTTGATGTTGATGTCGTCCTTTGCTGAGCATTCCAAAACTTTCACCCTGTAAAAGAAATGTCTGAATTGATATTATATTTTAAATAAAAATGAGTTAAAAATTAGTTTGTGCTACAAATTTAAAAAGTTTTGTTTATAAATTTGAATCTATATTTGTACCCAGTAAATGTGAATTTTTAAAGACTGAAATTTATTGATATCAAATTAAGTTACATGTTCACTGCCCCTTGCTAATGGGAAGAAACCGCTCTTACTACTATGACGACGATTGAGAAGATTTCAAAATCGCAGAGAACATGCCCTTGTATAATTAATTTTAAAAACATTAAGAGTGTTTCCGTAAAATCACGTTTTCACTTTCAAATTAATCCTTGAGCTTTGACTTCAGATTGAAAGCTCTCGACAAATTCGACATTCAATATTTAGGATTTATTATTTACAAATTTAATTATTATTCAAAATTTATTACGTTTGAAATTTGTTTTTGAAGACGTGGTTTGATAAGAGTCCTTCTGTTTGTAATAAGCATTGATTTCAATACATTTATTTAATGTAACTTGTATTCAAACACGGAATTCCTTGTTCGAACACGAAAATTTAAAATTCCGTGTTCCAACGAGGAATTTCCATGCTCAAACAATGAATTCCGTGTACAAACAAGGAATTTCTTGTTCGTACACGGAATTCCTTATTCGTACATGAAATTCCTTGTTCGTACACGGAATTCTTTGTTTGAACACGGAAATTCCGTGTTTGAACACGGAAATTCCGTGTTTGAGCAAGGAATTCCGTGGTCGAACGCGGAATTTTATATTTCCTGTAAATACGCCTTTTAAATGTATAGTTCTACAATAAAATTCCGTGTTCGAAGAAGGAATTTCTTATTCGTACAAGAAATTTCTTGTTGGTACACAAAATTCCTGGTTCGTACACGGAATTCTTTGTTTGAACACGGAAATTCCGTGTTTGAGCAAGGAATTCCGTGGTCGAACGCGGAATTTTATATTTCCTGTAAATACGCCTTTTAAATATATAGTTCTACAATAAAATTCCATTTTCGAAGAAGGAATTTCTTATTCGTACAAGAAATTTCTTGATGGTACACAAAATTCCTGGTTCGTACACGGAATTCTTTGTTTGAACACGGAAATTCCGTGTTTGAACACGGAAATTCCGTATTTGAGCAAGGAATTCTGTGGTAGAACGCGGAATTTTATATTTCCTGTAAATACGCCTTTTAAAGGTATAGTTTTACAATAAAAACCGTGTTCGAAGAAGGAATTTCTTATTCGTACAAGAAATTTCTTGTTGGTACGCGAAATTCCTTGTTCGTACACGGAATTCTTTGTTTGAACACGGAAATTCCGTGTTTAAACACGGAAATTCCGTGTTTAAACACGGAAATTCTGTGTTTAACCACGGAATTTCGTGTTTGAACAAGGAATTCCGTGTTCGAACGCGGAATTTTATAAAAAAAAAGAAATGTGGTCTTTCTACGCTGCCGTATAAAAGTGAAGTCCTGGTGACACATTTTTGTAAATATCTTCGAAATTTGACAAACTTTTTACGCTCTATTTAATGGACTAAACGACAGTTTTTGATTATCTTCATAGGTGGGTAAATTAGGGGAGGGGCTTAGGGTTAAATTGTCCTAAGTTTTTTTGTTGACTGTTTTTAACATTTTTAACTAAAAAAAAATTATTTTAACTTTGGAGAACCGGTGACTAAAGAAATTTTAGGAAATATTTACAAAAATGAGCTATCAGGACTTCACTTGTAACACCTTTTTACTTCTATTTTAGGATGTAGGTTACGCTGTTAAAATATGACCGTCTAATTTCGATAAAAATATAAACAAATTTTTAAAATTTTTACAGATTTACTAAAAATACCTGCAGATATGTGTAAGTATTTAGCGAATACTCACGAAATTGTAGATTATATCAGTCTCGAGAGAATAATATTGCAAACGATATCCATACTGAGGATATCCGACTCAAAAAGCTTTTACTAATCTTTCAGAGAGAATTGTACAACCAGAAAGATTTATTTATGAAGTCATTAATTATCTCCCGAGCGAATATTTAATGAAAACAACGAATTAATATTGGCTGTATACTAGTTTTTTAACTGCAGAAATTAGGCGAATTTTGTGTCTATAGACACTTTTAATTGGGATTTCAAAAACTGCAACGTATACAGGATGTTTCAAAATAAAATACCGTAAATTATTGGACTTATAAAGTTAAGATTAATAATTATTCCTCACCCAATTAGTCACAAAAAGGGATTCTTAACTCTTGGTCAATCTCTATAGTACAATTCATTTCTGATATTTTTTAGTTTTATTCCTACTCAAACATGAAATATATGAACTTTTGCAGGATTGTTTAATTTCGATTATTAAAAAACTGTATCCTCGATTATTACATAAACTATATTTTCGGAAAATTATATATTTTCTAAACGGAAAAACTAACATCTACTGTTTCATAGTTAGACGTTGTAAATAGAGCCACTGCTAAACATTTAAATTCAGCTCGGGCCATTGTTTGAAGTATTCTACATGCTTTACAGCACCCAGCGAACAACTGTCCATACTATAAAGTTGTGTTCGACTTCTTATTGATGTGCTCCTAAATATTCAGCCTCCGTATATTACAAATGCTTCGTAGATTCGTATCTGGATTTAAATCCAGAGATAAATGGTTTATACGTTTACGGATACTTTTCAATCTAACGTGTTTGCTAAATAATTTGGAAAATATACCTTTCTCAAATTTGACTAAATCCGTGGGTTTGGAATGACCTGACAATGATGAGAATACATATTTGATTATAATTAATATCATTATAAAAGTAAAAGCTTAAAAAATCATACCATTCAAAAAAATGTATTAAATAATGGTTAATTTTAGATAATTATTATATTTTAGAAATAATATTTTCGAAAAAAAATTACCTAACAAAGAACTACATTTTTGGAACTAAAATATTGTTACGCAGCACCCTGTAGCTATTATAGAAAACGTGCGATTAAAAGAAAAAATATGTCACCCATCAATCTACAGCGGGCTGCGGTCGTCATAAGTAAAGGTACGAGTAAAAGAAGAAGAGGGAATATTCTAGAAATGTCATTCCACGTCAAGAAAAATCTGCACATTTCGAGAAAGTTCTAGAAGGTTAAAGCAAGCTATATAAGTCGATGTTAGCATCAGGGGCAGTTTCATGATAAACGTTATATTAATGTTATGAGTTGTATAGTTATTGTAAAAGTTGAATTGAAATTGTTAAAATAAATTGAGATAGATACCAAAAAGTTTCTTTTACTTCAGCGTTTATATGTAAAATACTAAAATAATCATCTAATTATAAGTTCTGTAAGTTTAACTTTTTGTAACTTAATTATAGGTAAAATGCTACGCGGAGTTCTTCGGTTTGTCTGAACACTTTATTATTACTCAACTTGAAAACTAATATTGTCAGGAATTTAATATTGTTACACGTGTGAATGACTTCAAGAATTATGTAGACACAGGAAAAAATATGAATAATTAAATATATTCTTTCCTTGCTTCTGTTTTTTTCTATTTTTTGTTTAAAATGAATATTTACCGTTAAAATATTAGGTAATATACTTGTATACGCGAGATGAAGCTGGATAGGAATAATTTCTTTATGAAAATATGTCAGAAGGATCAGAAACTTTTTCATATAAGGTTCGCGAACCGGAATTATTACATTTTTTATATAAATGTATGCTCGGTGATTTTTTAAATATGTTCATTTTTTTTACAAAAATATAGCTACTACTTAATACATTTTATTTTCGTAAATGTAAAAATTTTATTTTTGAAACATTTTTTGAAAGCATCCAGTATTCTACAATCATTCCCGAGAGGGATTAATAAAGCTTTTTACAACGAAAACGTGATATATTATTGCACCACTACACTGCAATGCAACGATTTGAAAAAAGGTCATACATTATTACCCCGATTCCAATGATTATACTACGTTTTCTAGTTTTCGAAAAATAATTGTAAATCAACGTCGTAACTACTTAAATTACTAATTATTGTCCGGATTATATAGTGAGTGTCATAAAGTTGGATCCATATGGGATTTTCTTTTAATATGACGATTGGAAAAAATCACTTCTGCTTATTTAAAGTTTTATTAGGATTTTCAGAGCTCAACTTACCGGGATAATTTTATTGTTTATGATTTGTCAACGCGGAAATTTAAAAAGTGACATTATTCTATATAATATTTACTCCTCGTACAAATATTATATCTAGCCAAGTTAGGTAAATACTTTGAATTAGCGATAAACTCGTCAATACTGGGAAGGATAATAAACAAGTTAGGTATTAATTCAATTAAATAAATCAGTGTCGTAGCGTGAAACAGGTATATGATTATGTTATGTTGGGAATAGGGTGTTAATACACTGCGACCTAAAAGATATATTGTGCCTCCTTCTATCGCTAATGCAGCAGGGAAATATATCAATGCTTATAACGACCTTTCCAATTCTATCTTCTTATTGTTCGGAAGGATTTAGGATATGTGGTATCCTTTTTCCCTACTTTTGGAATAAAGGTGACTCTGGCCCTTCTCTATGCTTCTGATATACATTTTAGTTCCAGATTGCTCCGGGATAACTGTATGGTAGTCACTGAAGACACAAGTGGATAAAGGGCATATGTAACATTTTTTTAAATAGTATTTTTCTGCGAATGAAGGGCTTATATACCTAAAATTCCTTTAAAATGTCTTCCGTGACAATATATCTTCAAATATAGAAGTTGCCAATGGATAAAGGACCTATGTACTAGGGAATAACTGCCAAACAATAAACTTTAACACGAAATATCTCGTAAAAATTATTTTGCTACATAGGCCTTTCATCCACTTGTACCTTCAATTTTTCCTGTGCTTATTGAAGCAGGGCAGGAAATATGCCATCCACACCTGGAGACTTAAACGGTTCTAAAGTGTTTACGGCCCATTTTAACCAATTTCTGCTGCATATCTGTTTGACCACTACAGCGACCTCTCTTGACGTTGTGTCTCTTATTAGAAAAAGGTGCTTCCAGGAAAGTGAGTTTCGACTAAGAGGTGAGCTCTTTCCTCCTCACTCTCCGTGAAGCTTCCATTTGGTTTCTTTAATACTATAACTGTATCAACTCTCCCTTTTGCCAGGTCTCTGTGCAGTCTCGCAGAATTTTCTGAAGCTGTTACGTTTAGCTTTCCTGATTTCTTTGTTATAGGTAGTAAGCAACTCGGTGTAGCTCTGCCAATCTCCGCTGTGCTTGGCCCTATTATAGAGCTTCCGCACTTCGGATCGTAAGTTTGATAGATGACGGTTCCACCAAGGAGCATCCCTACTAGTTCTATTTCTTTGAATGGGGCAGCTTGATTCATATGGCTCAAGTATTGCCCCATTTAGTTGCTCGAGATCGCTTTCCAGAGCAAGTGGATGCCTGCGTCCCTTTTATTGTCTGGATACGAGCTAAATTTTGTTTTAGAATGGTGTTGTATTTCTCGGATTCCTCCTGAGGATCGTCTCAGGAATGTCGCTCTCTAACGTAAACACAATTATCTTGTGATCCGATAGAGATGGTGCACTCGATTCTCTCCAGTTTGTACTTAATGTGATATCTAATACCTCACTTCTTACCCTTGTTATAAATGTTGGAGTATTCCCAATATTTTGCACAATAAGGTTCTTATTAAAAATATATTCTAAAAGTTGCTCACCTCTATGATTGGTTCCCCATACGGTGCTATGCACGTTGACGACGCATTCAAGAAATAATGGAAGATGTCTTCTCTAGCAGTACTCCACTAGCCTTGATACTTCCGGGGGTGGTACAGGCCCATCTCCAACGAAATAACTAAAAGCTATTATTATGTCTTGTCGCCTCATCCCTAATTCCAGGTATGCTCGAATTGGGACGAGATCACGCGTCATGAATTCTGAAAGACAAGAATATTTAATTGTATTTCTTACCATAATGCTGGGTACTTCATCACTAGTGTGATAAATTACCCTTGCATCCTTACCTGGTTCCCGTAAGCTCACGGTTCATGGATCAATACGATCCGAAATTGATCTTTAGTGAATGTCCTGGAGATGACAGCCAAGGCTCCCTTGGCGTTATGGACATTCACTTGGGCGATGTCGATGCGCGATATTTTACTCTCCTTTAATGGGGGTGCCGTGTATATGGTTAGTTGTAGTAGTTTATTTTTATGTTAAACTAAAGTGTTGGTAGTGTATAATAACTTTTTTGTGTTAACATTGCCCAGTTGACTGGGATAGATATAACGTTATATTTATTAACATAAAAATAAATGTTTATTAAGTATATAACGGATATGTAGACCAGTCTAATTAAGGATGTCATAGCACTTCCGATTTTTGATATTATGATATAAATTTGAATTTTAGTTAATTAGAATCGCAGGTAGTTAAGTTAAATATTTATCGTGTGGTACTGTCCCCGCATAATCTGTGCATATACAGGCATATTTACCCTAATATCTAAATAGAGATGGAATTTTCGGATGACTTTCGAGTGCGTCTAGTAACTACTAGTACAGAGTGGGCTTTGTATAAATAACGCGATTTCGTCGACGAACGAGTAGTTTAGAATAAAGTAATGGATTGAAAAGATAAATTGTAATAAATAAATTAGAGTTGTGAGTTAGTGCCCAAGTATTATATAAATTAATTAGTACATCATAAATAAATTGTAAATAGTGTGTTTTAAATAAATAAACGCAAAAATAATTTAAGTTTAAACAGAAATAAACAAAACTGAAATTTTCGCGCGGATACCCGGTATATATTTTTTAAATGGATATAACTTATACTTTTTTTAATTAATGGGTATTAGGATGTACATATATCTTCGTATTTTCCAAATTTAATTGGCATTGGCGAAGCCAACAAGAAAGTATGATCACGATTATACGTATATAGGATGTCCCGTTAATATACCGCCAAACTTTTAAAGGTGGTAGGGGACACCAAAAAAATCTTGTTTGTTTAATAAACATATTATGGCCGCTAGCATAGAATATATTAAATAAGATAAATGTTTTTGTAACATATTAGACCATAATATGATGGTTGGTTACAATACAAATTAAACATATCTAATTTTATATGATGTTTCTTTATTCATTTTTAAGTCTCAACTGACAAAACTCCAATCGTGCATTCTGTCGGCTTATTAAGGTATCTTTTTTTGTATATAAAGAATTCCACCGTGGCCCAAACAAACCGGCTTACAAAATAAATTAATTTATATCACAGATTTATTAGCTTTTGATAATAATATAAATATAGTTACTGTTTACAAAGCAAAATGAATGAAATAAGCAATCTTTTAATAAAACCTTCTTTCAATGCACTTTTTCGAAGACAAAATTCAAATCAAAGAACTTTAAAGACCTCTTCCCGATTTAGAAATCACAAAAACGCAGAAGGCTTCCAAGTTTAGTTCGTCAAGCTTAAAGAGGGGTATAAGAAAAGTAACTGGATTTATGGAGGTGATCAAAAAATTTTATTTTCTTTGTTTTTATGTGTTTTTTTTGGGGACAACGCATGGTATCACTGATTAAGTACCTACATAATATTTATGAGAAAATTATAACACATGAAAACAGTAAGGGACATATAAATAATATTTTTGGGTTTTCTTCGTTCGGAAAATCATATATAATGACTCAATTAAGTTTGGCTCATAGACAAAAATATTATTAAGCACAAGATATATATGTGTATCTACCAAACGTAAGAAATCTACGGGGTTGTTCCCAAGTTATGAATAAGAAAAGAAATGGTAAAAATAAATAAAACAACTTATATATCGGTTATCAATGGCCAAAGACCCGTTTGACAAGGTATATTTAGAATCACTTGGGCGGCCTTCATTCACGATAAACGTATGTACGTTTCCCACTGAATCATCTTGTATAAGACATGCTTTTATCTCCCTATATAAATGTATTATACATTTTATTGTATATCTGACGATTAATTTCACTTAGAAATTTTTTTTTATCACATCAAGACTGAAAGGTTTTTTATAGCTACAAAACAAATAACCTGGTAATAAATTTTGTTTAATGGTATATTGGGAAACGCGTTACCAATTTCAAGTTTTTCCTCAGTTAATTAAATGAATGGGAAACTTACCTAAGCTTGGGTAATTCGCAATAAACCCATTCCGATACATCTTCTATAGGGACTTCGCGGTGCGTTGATGTTAAATCCAATTTGTTGCCCGCTATCACTATCGGTATTTCCTGAAAATCTCCCCTTTGTTCCCTGATTTCCTCAAAGCACTGCTTAACACAATCTAAGGACGGGGACGAAGTGACCGCGTACACTAACAGGAAAGCGTGTGCTGTAGCTATGCACAATCGCCTCATTGCTGGGAACTGCATATCTCCTGCTGTGTCTAGGATGTCCACCTGTGAAAACATACAGTATGTCGCTAATGTATGGAATAAATTCATTATTTCTAAAATAATCGACTTTTGAAAAAAATCCAAAAACAGGTCAATTTTAATTTTTGAATCGTCATCACATGATGTAGATGTAACGAACATTACGTCACCAGTATTACCGTGGTGACGTAATCGGCAATTTTTTTAAATGCAACCATGTGTCTCAAAACACCTCGTTGGAAAGGTCTTCTAATCGTCTTTACAACGATGTAATTATTTGAATATTTATTTCTACAGGGTCGACCAAAACTGTTTATTTACTAAAATACATAAAACTGTTTAGTAAAAAACAATTAAATTATATTAAATGTTCAAACTGATGACCTTCAGCAATAATGCAATGAGACAGCCGAGCAGTAAATTCGTCTCTAACGTTTACGAGAACTTCAGGCGTTATTTGTGCAATCTCCGTTCTGATGCGATCCTTCAACTCTTCTATATCATTTGGGCGACTTTGATAAACTTTGCTCTTCAAGTATCCCATAAAAAAAAGTCTAAGGGTGTCAAATCTGGCGACCTTGGTGGCCATTCGATCGTTCCTCTTCTTCCTATCCACCTATCTGGAAAAACAGCATTTAAGTAGGTTCGTACATCAAAGGCGTAATGTGGGGGTGCCCCATCCTGTTGAAACCACAAATCACATCTATTTGGAAATAGTTGATTTAATTGTGGTAATAGATAATCCTGAAGAAATTGAAGATATCGAGGACCGGTCAAGTTTCCTTCAAAAAAATATGGCCCTATTATTTGATTATTTATAATGCCGGCCCAAACATTCACCTTTTCAGGATATTGTGTCGTATACTCCTGCATCCAATGGGGATTTTCACTTGCCCAGTATCGATATGTCTGGCGGTTTACATGGCCGTTGAGCATAAAAGTTGCTTCATCCGAAAAAAGTATATTTTTTATGAAATTACGATCTTTGTTAGATCGTTCCATAATTGTTTCACAGAATTCAATTCTCCTATCAAAGTCATCTTCTAACAGCTCTTGGACCAAATGTACCTTATACGCATGCCACTTCTCCTTTTTCAGTACTCTAGCAACAGTAGAATGGTGTAAATTATTATCCAGCGCAACTTGTCTCGTGCTGGTGTGGGGTCTTTCTTGAAACTCTAGTAAAACGTTAACTTTTTGTCTTCGGAAATTGACTTTCTACCACTTTTGGGGAGATCTTTAACATGGCCCGTTTCTCGAAACTTTTTCTCGATTTTACTAATTGTTGATTGAGAAATGGGTTCACGGTTGGGGTATTTAGCATTAAATAAATTGCCAACTTCTCTCTGTGTCCTTACTCTATCTCCATAGCCAATCATCATTAATATTTCGATTCGTTCAGTTTCTGTAAGCTTCATTACTAAATTATGCTAATTTAAAGATTTTAACTATTGAACACTTGACTGATACACATCAATTAGTGTTAAATTAGAATTTAGTACTATTATCAGTAACATATCCAAAATACAGAATTCAAGAATTATAGTATTTTTAAATTTAAGACAGCCCTTAAAATACACATTTTTGAAAATCAAATTTAAGTAACAATTTTCCTCACTGCATACATATTGTTGTTTATTGTATCGCTACGTATTTGTACTTCCCTCTTTCATTGGTCGTTGTTTTTGATATTTTTTTTTGCCCTACTTAGTTATGTTGTTTTTTTTTTTCATTGGATTCAACCTTCCTGAGACAAGTGCATTTTCATTTGTTTGTTAAATGTTAAAATTACAGTTGTTTATTTATTTGATATAGTTATTATGGTATATACATATTTTGTCTTTGATTGTTTATTTCTGCTCTATTGCTCTATGGTTATATGCAGGTTTACTCGCGGGTTAAGTGGAAGAATATTTTTTGTTGTGTCTAGTGCACAACCAAAAATAAACTTCGCCCGTGTATATATGTATTATTTTATTGTATTTACTTTAAATTAATGGAAATAAAGACGATTATTATTATTATTATTATTATTATTATTATTATTATTATTATTATTATTATATTTTTTGGGTACAGTACGATGTTTTATTTCCAGTGGCGGTCCTTACAATAACTTAGTTCAGTGAATCAGAATTTATGATTAAGATTTTAGTAAATAAACAGTTTTGGTCGACCCTGTAGAAATAAATATTCAAATAATTACATCGTTGTAAAGACGATTAGAAGACCTTTCCAATGAGGTGTTTTGAGACACATGGTTGCATTTAAAAAAATTGCCGATTACGTCACCACGGTAATATTGGTGACGTAATGTTCGTTACATCTACATCATGTGATGACGTTTCAAAAATTAAAATTGACTTGTTTTTGGATTTTTTTCAAAAGTCGATTATTTTAGAAATAATGAATTTATTCCATACATTAGCGACATACTGTATTTAATTGAACCAAAAAATGTTGAGTGCAAATTTATATTTTTTGATAGACCGAAAAACTTGATTTCGAGAAAAATGCGGTTTAACATATTTTGTTTGGCCGCAAAGCTATATACGGAAAAATAATTTTCTATGATAAATTTAGGCAAAAAAAAGCAAATGGTAATTTATACTACCAGAAACATGTATATAGTAATATTCTTTTTTTTCATTGTTTGAAGATACGGGGTTTTTTCATAGGACGGCAGAAATATCTCTCTATGAATTTGATTCATTTACATCAACCTATGGCTAATTTTGCTGCTAAAGTTAAGGCTCTTATATTCTTAAGTAAGTACCTAATATTTCGTTTTAATAAACTTAAGATTATATCTATAACCCACCTTTAACGTCATATGTCCTAAATCATACTCTCTGTTATAAAGATCCTCGATAGTACTTTTGTATTTGCTATTGTAAGTGTTGAGTAGAAACCTCTTAACAATTGAACTTTTTCCTACACCGGGTCCGCCTAAAATTACTAGGCGTATCCTTTCGTAATCTGACATTGTTGTGCCGTTATTACTCATTCACTGTAAAAAAAAGAAAAAGCACTGCATTGAAATATATTTCCAATATAATGTAATTTATTTTTAAAGTGTTTTTAGTAAGATATAAAATAGCTATTAAAAAATATTGATGACTATCTCCCTAGACCAAATATCAACGACTATTTCTCTAGAAAAATAGTCGATATTTGGTCTAGTGAAATAGTCGTTTCAAATATAACACGACCTTGATTAATATTTCTGCTATTTCTGTTGTTGATAAATTTCTCGAACATTTTACAATTTGATTCTACATAATTTAGGCATTAATAATCAATTGATTAAAGTCCTCGAGCTAAAGCTCTCGGGCTCTAATCAAATTGATATTAAAACATTCTCGAGATTTAGATTCAACAAAAATAGCCGACTATTATCAAGGTCTTGGTATATTTCCCTTGAATATTGATTAAAATTATTTAAATCCAAATCTGGTTAAGCTAGATAAGTGCAATCAATTATGAACACGAGAGTTATAAATTTCAAATTGGAAATTTTATTTTTAAAAATTTTAATAAATTTAAAATACACTTTAATGGATATTTAGGACAACTCTGAACTAAAGTCTACAAACAAGCTGTCATGCTTTTGTATATAAATACCAATGCACGTCATCGATGACGTATTTCCTCTACTGCAGTTATACCAACAATTGAAATAAAACGATTTGAAGGTCTAATTGAACACTAGTTGAATTGACATGCATATAATGGTCCTTTACTATCTTTAACTGCTGTTAGAGAAGTAAGTTTTTACTAATATTGTCTAGAAATATCAAACTAATCACATTTTTAGCGTGTATCGGCAGCACTTAACTTAAATTTGTTCACTGTAAGTGTTATTTCTCAAGCAGCTAAGAATGATGTCGTTTTAAAATCGCCTCCAAAAGAGCGCCTTCGTACAAATAAAGTAACTAATACAAGAACTCTAGATACAAGTACAATTCAATATTATTTTTAAATAAATAGTGAAGTATCATAAGAAATACTAATTAAATTCCCAATACTTCGTTTAGAAAGTTTTTTTTTTTAAATTAAAATAATATAGTTCAATTGCAAACTATTTGTGCTTTTACAATATTTTCAAGATTAAAAAAGAAAAACTTACGTCTTGTTATAGTAAAAACCTTCGGCAATTTCATCAGTGTATTTTTTAAATGAAACGAACATCGATCGCTAGTATTGCAAATGACAGGCGAGTAGAGTTGTTCTACGTAGAGTTAGGTAGGTAAAGGTGAGGTGTTTGTTTCGTCAAATTTGAAAGAAAATTAATTAAGCAGCCATTCGATTCCGGAGCTTGAAATAGCGGCAAGTCATTAGGTTTGCAAAATGATTTAGTTTAGGAATTGAAAGACTGAATTAATGTGGATATTGCATGTTGAGTTCTGGATAGTTTTCGGTATTGCTTTGTCCAACGTTGCGTAGACTCCGATACAAGCCTGAAACAAAAGAAAAGGAAGTTAAAAAAAGAAAAAAAAAATGTTCGGGGTGTTTGTAAAAGTACATGCTTTAATCATAAGTGTGGGGATAATTCGAAATAATCCACTATTAATGGGTCTATATTGTGAGTGATGAAAATTACTAATTTTCATGTACGGAAATCTAAACGCGAAATTTCTGTTTTACAATAAATTGGACAAGGTATAATAGAATGAAGCGTCAAATAAAGAAAGACCGTCTGAGCATCTGATACGTATTCCGAGTTTTACAATCTTGAAAAGACCTCTCTTTTTCTCTCAGAATTAGAATTATATTTGATAATATTTAATTACGGCATCAATACCAAAATACAAAATAAGTCATTAAAAGGAAAAGAGTGGCAGGCATTTCATCTTACTTCAAAGTATAATTAATCGTTTTAATATCACTTGTAAAAAAGGATTCGTATTAAATAAAATTCTTTTACTTCCGGTTAAAAGAGTTCAAAGAAAAATATTTCTATCAAAGAAGCGGTTTCCTTT